TTATTACAACATGCTGTACGACATGCTTGGTTATTACAACATGCTGTATTATACACTGCTGGGTTATTACAACATGCTGTACAGGATGCTGAGTTATTACAACATGCTGTATTATACACTGCTGGGTTATTACAACATGCTTTACAGGATCCTGGGTCATTACACCATGTTGTACAGGATGCTTGGTTATTACAACATGCTGTACAGGATGCTGGGTTATTACAGCATGTTGTACAGGGTGCTGGGTTATTACAACATGCTGTACAGGATACTGGGTTATTACACCATGCTGTACAGGGTGCTGGGTTATTACAGCATGTTGTACAGGATACTGGGTTATTACAACATGCTGTACAGGATACTGGGTTATTACAACATGCTGTACGACATGCTTGGTTATTACAACATGCTGTATTATACACTGCTGGGTTATTACAACATGCTGTACAGGATGCTGAGTTATTACAACATGCTGTATTATACACTGCTGGGTTATTACAACATGCTGTACAACATGCTGGGTTATTACAACATGCTGTACAGGATGCTGGGTTATTACAACATGCTGTACAACATGCTGAGTTATAACAACATGCTGTACAGGATGCTGGGTTATTATAATATGCTGTACAGGATGCTAGGTTATAACAACATGCTGTACAGGATGCTGGGTTATTACAACATGCTGTATTATACACTGCTGGGTTATTACAACATGTTGTACAGGATGCTGGGTTATTACAACATGTTGTACAGGATGCTGGGTTATTACAACATGTTGTACAACATGCTGGGTTATAACAACATGCTGTACAGGATGCTGGGTTATTACACCTTGTTGTACAGGATGCTGGGTTATTATAACATGCTGTACAGGATACTGGGTTATAACAACATGCTGTACAGGATGCTGGGTTATTATAACATGCTGTACAGGATACTGGGTTATAACAACATGCTGTACAGGATGCTAGGTTATAACAACATGCTGTACAGGATGCTGGGTTGTTACAACATGTTGTACAGGGTGCTGGGTTATTACACCATGCTATACAGGATGCTGGGTTATTACAACATGCTGTACAGGATGCTGGGTTATTACACCATGTTGTACAGGATGCTTGGTTATTACAACATGCTTTACAGGATCCTGGGTCATTACACCATGTTGTACAGGATGCTTGGTTATTACAACATGCTGTACAGGATGCTGGGTTATTACAGCATGTTGTACAGGGTGCTGGGTTATTACAACATGCTGTACAGGATACTGGGTTATTACACCATGCTGTACAGGGTGCTGGGTTATTACAGCATGTTGTACAGGATACTGGGTTATTACAACATGCTGTACAGGATACTGGGTTATTACAACATGCTGTACGACATGCTTGGTTATTACAACATGCTGTATTATACACTGCTGGGTTATTACAACATGCTGTACAGGATGCTGAGTTATTACAACATGCTGTATTATACACTGATGGGTTATTACAACATGCTTTACAGGATCCTGGGTCATTACACCATGTTGTACAGGATGCTTGGTTATTACAACATGCTGTACAGGATGCTGGGTTATTACAGCATGTTGTACAGGGTGCTGGGTTATTACAACATGCTGTACAGGATACTGGGTTATTACACCATGCTGTACAGGGTGCTGGGTTATTACAGCATGTTATACAGGATACTGGGTTATTACAACATGCTGTACAGGATACTGGGTTATTACAACATGCTGTACGACATGCTTGGTTATTACAACATGCTGTATTATACACTGCTGGGTTATTACAACATGCTGTACAGGATGCTGAGTTATTACAACATGCTGTATTATACACTGCTGGGTTATTACAACATGCTGTACAACATGCTGGGTTATTACAACATGCTGTACAGGATGCTGGGTTATTACAACATGCTGTACAACATGCTGAGTTATAACAACATGCTGTACAGGATGCTGGGTTATTATAATATGCTGTACAGGATGCTAGGTTATAACAACATGCTGTACAGGATGCTGGGTTATTACAACATGCTGTATTATACACTGCTGGGTTATTACAACATGTTGTACAGGATGCTGGGTTATTACAACATGTTGTACAGGATGCTGGGTTATTACAACATGTTGTACAACATGCTGGGTTATAACAACATGCTGTACAGGATGCTTGGTTATTATAATATGCTGTACAGGATGCTAGGTTATAACAACATGCTGTACAGGATGCTAGGTTATAACAACATGCTGTACAGGATGCTAGGTTATAACAACATGCTGTACAGGATGCTGGGTTATTACAACATGCTGTATTATACACTGCTGGGTTATTACAACATGCTGTACAACATGCTGGGTTATTACAACATGCTGTACAGGATGCTGGGTTATTACAACATGCTGTACAGGATGCTAGGTTATAACAACATGCTGTACAGGATGCTGGGTTATAACAACATGCTGTATTATACACTGCTGGGTTATTACAACATGCTGTACAGGATGCTGGATTATTACAACATGCTGTACAGGATGCTGGGTTATTACAACATGCTGTACAACATGCTGAGTTATAACAACATGCTGTACAGGATGCTGGGTTATTACAACATGCTGTACAACATGCTGAGTTATAACAACATGCTGTACAGGATGCTGGGTTATTATAATATGCTGTACAGGATGCTAGGTTATAACAACATGCTGTACAGGATGCTGGGTTATTACAACATGCTGTATTATACACTGCTGGGTTATTACAACATGTTGTACAGGATGCTGGGTTATTATAATATGCTGTACAGGATGCTAGGTTATTACAACATGCTGTACAGGATGCTGGGTTATTACAACATGTTGTACAGGATGCTGGGTTATTACAACATGCTGTACAGGATGCTGGGTTATTACAACATGCTGTACAGGATGCTGGGTTATTACTACATGCTGTACAGGATGCTGGGTTATTACAACATGCTGTACAGGATGCTGGGTTATTACAACATGCTGTACAGGATGCTGGGTTATTACAACATGCTGTACAGGATGCTGGGTTATTACAACATGCTGTACAGGATGCTGGATTATTACAACATGCTGTACAGGATGCTGGGTTATTACAACATGCTGTACAGGATGCTGGGTTATTACAACATGCTGTACAGGATGCTGGATTATTACAACATGCTGTACAGGATGCTGGATTATTACAACATGCTGTACAGGATGCTGGGTTATTACAACATGCTGTACAGGATGCTGGATTATTACAACATGCTGTACAGGATGCTGGATTATTACAACATGCTGTACAGGATGCTGGGTTATTACAACATGCTGTACAGGATGCTGGATTATTACAACATGCTGTACAGGATGCTGGGTTATTACAACATGCTGTACAGGATGCTGGGTTATTACAACATGCTGTACAGGATGCTGGGTTATTACAACATGCTGTACAGGATGCTGGGTTATTACAACATGCTGTACGACATGCTGGGTTATTACAACATGCTGTACAGGATGCTGGGTTATTACTACATGCTGTACAGGATGCTGGGTTATTACTACATGCTGTACAGGATGCTGGGTTATTACAACATGCTGTACGACATGCTGGGTTATTACAACATGCTGTACAGGATGCTGGGTTATTACTACATGCTGTACAGGATGCTGGGTTATTACTACATGCTGTACAGGATGCTGGGTTATTACAACATGCTGTACAGGATGCTGGGTTATTACAACATGCTGTACAGGATGCTGGATTATTACAACATGCTGTACAGGATGCTGGGTTATTACAACATGCTGTACAGGATGCTGGGTTATTGCAACATGCTGTACAGGATGCTGGGTTATTACAACATGCTGTACAGGATGCTGGGTTATTACAACATGCTGTACAGGATGCTGGGTTATTACAACATGCTGTACAGGATGCTGGGTTATTACAACATGCTGTACAGGATGCTGGGTTATTACAACATGCTGTACAGGATGCTGGGTTATTACTACATGCTGTACAGGATGCTGGGTTATTACAACATGCTGTACAGGATGCTGGGTTATTACAACCATGTCATTCCGACATCTGTGTTGTAGTAAACACAGCCAGGTCATTCCAACAGCAGCCTTCTATTAATCATTTCCAGGTCATGCTGAGGTCATGGCCAAGTTGTCTGAATTTGAATTCCACCACTGGTGATATTTTTAATCCTTATATACACATATTATTGACATTAGTGATTATTCTACACTGGCCTTCATCAAGATGACCACCTTCTCATTGCTGGAATATTGCTGACTGCAGCATTAACAACAAACATTTAAATCTTCCAAATGGCCCTTGAGAATTCTTGTAATACATGTCATGAATTTCTGGTTACACTTGCTCAAAAGGTATGTTCTGTTTTTTGACAATATTTTTCATTCTAGCTTTAATTTGGCCTTTGCATTTAACCATACTGAAAGCTGAAATTTTCTTTCAAAATGTAATGAAATTTGGTACTTGTGTAGATAGATGGGCTATTATGTTCAATTTTTCAGGATGATTGAAATTTGGACCTTTACTTGACCCTTACCCTTTGATCTTGCTCCTAAATTATCTCAAAATTCATTTCCCCTCAGCGTTGACATCCTCTCATCAGAATCCACTTGACCAATGGAGCTGAAACTTCACATGCTTGGTCCACCAATGATGAAACCAGTGTTTAAGAGATTCAAATCCAATGTTAAACGTGGCAGCCATATTGAAAAGGCTATTTATGGGCATCACTAACTGTTGTTCCAAATGACATGCCACTTTGATCATACTGAAAGCTGGAACTTCTTTTGGTCATTCAGCAACAATTTTCTTTTTCTTTCACATGGACCAGTTGCTAGATGTCAAGATAATATTGCCTCGACATTGGTGCCTGATAAATAGAAGCTATAAAATTTCTGTGTTGGCCTTATCATTATAAATGGTTTGTTGCAGAAACATTGAACGCTAAACGGGTAGTTATAACTGGAGCATCTACCGGGATAGGGGAACAGATTGCATATCACTATGCAAGGTTTGGTGCCAAGATTCTGATCACTGCCCGACGAGAGGAGGTGCTGAAGCAGGTGTGTATACTTCTTAATTAAGTGAATCGTAGCTCTTTAGATATCTTTTCCAAATGAAAGATGCAATTTCCACTAAAAAAACTGAAATACAATGAATATATTATTTTGTTAACTCATAACCTTGACCAAGGACCTGTGAAGACATAGCATAGGTCTTCAGCAAACCATACTTGCTTTAGAAGGTGACTGTGCTAGTCATAAGAGGCGACTAACGGAATTGGATGGTCAGGCTCGCTGACTTGGTTGATGCATGTCATCATATCCTAATCGCGTAGATGGATGCTCATGATGTCAATCACTGAATTGTCTGGTCAAGACTCAAATATTTACAGACCGCTGTCACATAGCTGGAATATTGCTGAGTTCGGCATTAAACAACAAACAAACAACCTTGACCAAGGGAGTCTTTTGTATTTTCTGAAAAATACATGTGATGCCTAGATAATTTCTAATGATTTTGAGTTTGTGGGCAATATACATATATATAAGCACTAGTATCCTCCATATATCCAGGTAGTAGATCGATGCAGACAAGTTGGCAGCACAGAGGGCCAATATGAGTACATCACAGCTGACATGAGCGATATGTCTGCCACACAGAACGTCATACGGGTATGTCAGAGCCACAAGGAGCACATGTTTCAGGAGGCTGTGACTGATGTGTGGGTATATGTTTCAGGAGGCTGTGACTAATGTGTGGGTATATGTTTCAGGAGGCTGTGAGTGATGTGTGGGCATATGTTTCAGGAAGCTGTGAGTGATGTGTGGGTATATGTTTCAGGAGGCTGTGAGTGATGTGTGGGCATATGTTTCAGGAAGCTGTGAGTGATGTGTGGGTATATGTTTCAGGAGGCGACACGGTGTCTGGTGGGGATCGACATCCTTGTGCTGAATCTCATCACTGTTATGCCCCTGGGTGTATGATTCAGGAGGCTGTGAGTGATGTGTGGGTATATGTTTCAGGACACTTTGAGTGATGTGTGGGTATATGTTTCAGGAGGCTGTGAGTGATGTGTGGGCATATGTTACAGGACGCTTTGAGTGATGTGTGGGTCTATGTTTCAGGAGGTTTTTAGTGATGTGTGGGCATATGTTTCAGGAAGCTGTGAGTGATGTGTGGGTCTATGTTTCAGGAGGCGATACGGCGTCTGGGGGGGATGGACATCCTGGTGCTGAATCTCATCACTGTTATGCCCCTGGGTATATGATTCAGGAGGCTGTGAGTGATGTGTGGGCATATGTTACAGGACGCTTTGAGTGATGTGTGGGTCTATGTTTCAGGAAGCTGTGAGTGATGTGTGGGCATATGTTACAGGACGCTTTGAGTGATGTGTGGGTCTATGTTTCAGGAAGCTGTGAGTGATGTGTGGGTATATGTTTCAGGACGCTTTGAGTGATGTGTGGGTATATGTTACAGGACGCTTTGAGTGATGTGTGGGTCTATGTTTCAGGAAGCTGTGAGTGATGTGTGGGTATATGTTTCAGGAGGCTGTGAGCGATGTGTGGGCATATGTTACAGGACGCTTTGAGTGATGTGTGGGTCTATGTTACAGGAGGCTTTGAGTGATGTGTGGGTCTATGTTACAGGACGCTTTGAGTGATGTGTGGGTCTATGTTACAGGAGGCTTTGAGTGATGTGTGGGCATATGTTTCAGGAGGCTGTGAGTGATGTGTGGGTATATGTTACAGGACGCTTTGAGTGATGTGTGGGTCTATGTTACAGGGCGCTTTGAGTGATGTGTGGGTCTATGTTTCAGGAGGCTTTGAGTGATGTGTGGGTATATGTTTCAGGAGGCTGTGAGTGATGTGTGGGTCTATGTTTCAGGAGGCGACACGGCGTCTGGGGGGGATCGACATCCTGGTGCTGAATCACATCACTGTTATGCCCCTGGGAGAGTGGAAGGGCACCCCTCAAAACCTGTCCTCTTTGCAGCACATCTTTGATGTCAACTTCCGTGCATATGTCCACCTCACATCACATGCATTCTCAGAGCTGGAGAAAACCAGTGGCAGCGTTATTGTTGTGTCATCTTTTGCAGGTAATATTTGTGGTCACTGTGAGGATTGTTTCAGTCAGGGTTCCGGCAGGGTGGTGAGTAGTGTTGGGATGGGTAACTTGGGTACTTAGGTCGGACAGGTACTGAGTAGGACCTGAGTACCCACAGGACTACCTGGACCCATAGTTAGTCATGTGATATGGTCTTTAATGACACTAATGTCACTAATGTTTGCTTTTCTTTCTGACTATGCACACATTCCTTCTGACTTTTACATGTTTAAGATAAGATAACGATAAAGCTTCAGTCAACTTCAATGTGTGTTTGATCACATCATTTCATACTTATGTGTATCTGAATACTTCTTGCCAGGGCTCTGGTAAACCAATTCCCAAGCGAACATTTTGTACCCAACTCGAGAGGCAGCAGGAGGGGGAGGCAGCAGGAGGGGCAGCAGGAGGGGGAGGCAGCAGGACTGGGAGGAGGAGGGGGAGGAGCAGGAGGGGAGGCAGCAGGAAGGGGAGGCAACAGGACGGGGAGAAGCATGGGGAGGCAGCAGGGAGAGGAGGCAGCAGGAAGGGGAGGCAGCAGGAGGGGGAGGCAGCAGGGTTTGGGAGGCAGAAAGCGGGAGGCAGCAGGAAGGGAGGCAGCAGGAAGGGGAGGCAGCAGGAGGGGGAGGCAGCAGGGTTTGGGAGGCAGAAAGCGGGAGGCAGCAGGACGGGGAGGAGGATGGGGAGGCAGCAGGACGGGGAGGAGGATGGGGAGGCAGTAGGAGGGGGAGCAGCAGGACGGGGAGGAGGACGGGGAGGCAGTAGGAGGGGGAGCAGCAGGAGGGGAGGCAGCAGGAAGGGGAGGCAGCAGGACGGGGAGGAGGACGGGGAGGCAGTAGGAGGGGGAGCAGCAGGAGGGGAGGCAGCAGGAAGGGGAGGCAGCAGGACGGGGAGGAGGACGGGGAGGCAGTAGGAGGGGGAGCAGCAGGAGGGGAGGCAGCAGGAAGGGGAGGCAGCAGGACGGGGAGGAGGACGGGGAGGCAGTAGGAGGGGGAGCAGCAGGAGGGGAGGCAGCAGGAAGGGGAGGCAGCAGGACGGGGAGGAGGACGGGGAGGCAGTAGGAGGGGGAGCAGCAGGAGGGGAGGCAGCAGGAAGGGGAGGCAGAAGGACGGGGAGGAGGACGGGGAGGCAGTAGGAGGGGGAGCAGCAGGAGGGGAGGCAGCAGGAAGGGGAGGCAGCAGGACGGGGAGGAGGACGGGGAGGCAGTAGGAGGGGGAGCAGCAGGAGGGGAGGCAGCAGGAAGGGGAGGCAGCAGGACGGGGAGAAGCATGGGGAGGCAGCAGGACAGGGAGGAGCAGGAGGGGAGGCAGCAGGAAGGGGAGGCAGCAGGACGGGGAGAAGCATGGGGAGGCAGCAGGACAGGGAGGAGCAGGACGGGGAGGCAGCAGGAAGGGGAGGCAGCAGGGTGGGGAGTCAGAAAGTGGGAGGCAGCAGGCAGCAGGGAAGCAATTAGTTGTCCCCAAATAGCATCGTAAGCAATCAAGCTATGACATATGCAATTGGGGGAACTTCACTTCTTCCTTGTTTGTGCTTGAGTCAACACCTATTATATAGTTGTAACGATCTAGCACCTGGTATTTAGTCACATTAATCTAAGATTATTCTTCTATAAAACAGACATAGTAAGTAGATATTAATAAGGCTGCTTACTGGAGTGACGATCACACGTGAGTATAGCTGGTGTTAGGTGTTGCTGTGAGGTCGTAATGGAGTCTCCCTCTACTCCTGGATGCAAGAAATGTGGTCATTTCATGATCATGGGAGATCCTCATCTTAACTGCACAAGGTGCAGATGTACTGTATGCACTGAGGGGGTAGGTTTGAGCAGTGCGCACATACGTGAAGCGGCTAAGAAGAAAGTAGAGGTCATCACAGCTACTGACACTGTTCATGCCCCAGCTACTTCCCTTGACCCTCCTCCCTCTACCCCCAGTAGACCGTCAGCAGAACCATCTCCTATGCTTTCTATGAGCATCATACACGATCTCTTCAAACAGCAACAAGATATGATGAAGACGATGTTTGAGACTAAGTTCTCTTGAATCAACGTAGAAATGGAGAAGAGTAAGCAGGCAGCTCTGGCTAAGAAGAGTCCCCAGGTCAAGAGACCGCATTGGGGACAGCCATCTGCTACGGCCAGCCGAGACACCGTACGGTTGCCGCACAGACCACATGGCACCGGCTGATCAGCCGTCCACACAGCCAACCGTTACACCATGCGGACTCCAAGATAACCCAGCCGGCCGACCAGCCGTCCACACAGCCAACCGCTACGACGTGCAGACCCCAAGATAAAGCAGCCGGCCGACCAGCTGTCCACACAGCCAACCGTTACGACGTGCGGACCCCAAGATAACCCAGCCGGCTGACCAGCCGTCCACCCAGCCGACTGTTAGGACACCACTACAGCTACAGCTACAGCACGGACTCCACGGCTAATGCACCGACCGTCTAGTCGATCCGCTTACTGATAATCCTGATAGCACCAATCTTGCCTGGCAGGGCGTGGTTCCCCAGACTTCTGAGATTACTAATGGAAGAACCTGTCCAGTTACCTCTCCATCGAGATCTGCTATGACAACCCAAGTCCAGCATTTTCCACTACAGTCTGCCCAGCCTACATCTAACCGCCTGGAAATTATCACGCAGAAGATGCAGACATCCGGATACTCTGAGCTTGCCTCGGAAGCTGTTGCATGATCATGGGGATCTTCATCCTCCCTTTTGTATGACAACAGATGGGACAAGTTTGTTCAGTGGATAAGATGACAAGGGATTGTAACTAATGCTATATCTATCCCTATGGTATCGGATTTTCTAATACATCTACGTCAGGACAATAAATTCTGACATGGGACAATAGAAGGTTACAGATCGGTACTTCATTCTGTTTCTCAATCAGAAACCATCCCATTCTAAACAGACTAATGAGATCCTTTCTACTAGAAGATGTTCGCTCAGCTCGTATCTTCCCCAAGTTGAATCTTTCCATAGTACTATCGGCACTTTTAATGGAACCTAAAGAGCCCCTGGCTGAGGCCACCTTACTCTAAAATTCCAGGAAAGCATCTCTCCTCCTAACCATGGCGACAGCAGCAAGAGTTTCAGAACTCCATGCCTTGGACTATTCTAGTCTCACTCATGATCAACAATGGGCCTCAATCACCCTAAGAGCGCTCCCAGACTTTGTAGCCAAGAATCAATCTACCACAATGGGACCGTTAGGTCATAGACACTGTACCATTCCCGCTTTGGACCAACAGTGGATCACCCAGACAGACTTTTATGTTCCATCAGAGCTCTAAAGTTCATAGGTGCCATCGAAGGAGACTTTTTAGATCTTGCAAGACTCAATCCAACAAAGACATAACCAACAATAGCCGTATGGCTTAAAACTACCTTAACAGAGAGTTATACACAAGCACAGAACAGCACACCACATTTTGGATCCTGCTCAGCTCATGAGATAAGAGGGGGCACAGGTGGCCCAGTCATCTAAGGCGCCGTGATTCGCTGTGCAGAGTTGCGTCCCTTGGGCACACCAGAAACCTATGTTTCTAGGTTTGTCAGCACCATACCGGTGCTCGTGGGTTTCAACGAAGTGGTAAACATTTAAGACCTGCATCACTTCAGGCTTTCCTCCCACATTAAGCTGACACGCCGCAATATAACTGGACTACTGTTAAAAGCGGCGTTAAACCCAACTCACTCACTCCCTCACTCACTCGATAAGAGCCTTAGCCACGAGTCTCACTTCATGGACTAAAGTCTCAGAAGAACAAGTGGTCATTGGGTGAAAATAGACCAGAAATGACTTTATTATTATCATCAGGATTAGCAAATATAACGGTAATTCTTGTGACTTTTCTGATTTACAAGTCCTCAGGGGGAATTTCAGAGGGAAGTTATCTTGAGTTAGGATTAGAATCAAAGAATAATGGGTTCAAGAAGAGAATACTGTCAATTACACAGGAAGTTACTAGAGCCAGATCCCACCGGGTCCCTCTGATATATTCTGTCAAAGATGTAAAAGAGGTAGTAGTTTCGTAGGAATTATCGAACAATAGTTATCACTGTTAATAATTCTAAGAATACAACCTCTATAACATCGGAAGTACTCCCACCCACCTCCGAAATTCATGTACCCCTAGTGGTTAGATGTGGGAAGAAGTGAAGTTCCCGCCGTTGCATACATCACAGCTTGATTGGTTACGAGGCTGTTTGGGAACAACTAGCTGTGTGATGGACAGTGAAGAGGACAGTTGAAAATCTGAAAATTTTAGTTAGTTCTGAAGCCAAAATACAGGATTTATGGCAAAGATGTAATATAGGTGGTGTCTTTGAATTATTAACAATGATAACTATTGTTCGATGTTAGCATGATGTGTATTCCAGCATGGGAGTACATGGCAAACAATTCATGGCAACACATGCAATCTTACTCCTTTCATCTGATACATATAACGATACAATCCTAATATCAAATAGATCCTCAAATCCTAAGTTTGAAACCTTACTTGTTATGTAATAAAAGTTCATTATCATTCTGGCTTTTCTTTGTAAATGCAGTAACACTAAAATGATGAAAAATTAGGAAAAATTATTTTGAATAATCTTTCGGAACATTTTATTTATCAAAGATTGATCTCTAACAGGTTTGTCTTTTTATAATAAAGCTAACTACCTATCTGATTTTTAAGTCTATTTTGACATTTTTCATGTTGAAAAAAACACAACATTGTTATGTTTGAAAAGCATAAAATTCTGTTGTATAAACAGAACTCTTTAGTATATATGTATTATTTTGTCATCAATGAAGTTCAGTTCATAACAGTAACCTTTGTCATCCATGCTTCATGGTGTAACCCAACACCTGTGTATTTCTTTTCATCCTTTTGACGCTCAGTTTAATTACTTTATTACAGGTTTAATTCGTAGTAACACAGCTCAGTCCCCCAGATCACCTGACTCTGCGGCTGTGTCCCAGGGTAG